CATTAAAATAATTTTCCATTCAAATTAATGCCTCTTCGCTTTATACCATTTCTGCTTACTAAAGATTTCATAGGAGCCGTGGCCTGTTTGGCTCAGCGGTTAGAGCGTCGGCCTGCGGTACAGAGAGACCTGGGTTCGGTTCCCGCTAAGGGCACGTACCTCGGTTGCAGTTTGTCCCCGGCCCTGGTTGGTCGTGCGGGTGGCAACCACTCGATGTGTCCCTTCACATCGATGTTTCTCTCTCTCTCTCTCTCTTCCTCTCTCCCTCCCGCTCTGTCTGAACAAAAAATGCAAAAATGTCCTCGGGTGAGGATAAAAAAAAAAAAAAGATTTCATAGGAAATCTCTACTTTCGAATAGCAGGTAAAATCTGTATTTTAAACCAACACCCAGACAAACTTAGCATAACCAAGCTCAGAGAGAAAAACATAAGGCAACATTAGCATTTATTAAGGGATATAACCACAGATAAAACACTTCTGAAGCTCTGGGGATCTCTGGAGGACTCAGCTGCTAGCTGGAGGCCACAAGCCTGTTTTTTTTTAATCCTCACATATTTTTCCATTGGTGTTTAGATAAAGTGGTACGAGGGAAGGAGAGAGGGAGAAAGAGAGAGATGGAGAAAGGGAGAGAGAAAGACAGACAGAGAAACACTGATGAGAGAAAGACATCATCAATTGGCTGCCTCCCTCACGAGGGCTGGATCGAACCTCCAACCCAGGTGCAAGCCTTGACTGGGAATTGAACCTGCGACCCTTCAGTCTGAGGGCTGACATGAACCACTGAGCCAAAGAGGCCAGCCAGGTCAGGCAGGGCCCACAAAGCTGTTTTGAGTGTACTCATGACACAGCAGCTAACTTTTTCCAAAGCAAGTAACCCAAAACACAGAGCAAGGAAGTTACAATGCCTTCTATAAGAAACTCTCTCTGAAGTAATATGTCACTTCTACCACAATCTACTCATTAGAACGTAGTCAGGCTATACTTCAGAGGAGGGGAATTAGGACACCTTTGAAGGGAGGAATTTATGGACATATTTGAAAAGTACCATGGCCCTGGCCAGTTTGGTTCAGTGGTTAGAGTGTTGACCTGCGGTCCAGAGAGACCCAGGTTTGGTTCCCACTAAGGGCATATACCTCGGTTGCAGTTTGTCCCCGGCCCTGGTTGGGTCGTGCAGGTGGCAGCCACTCGATGTGTTCCTTTCACATCAATGTTTCTCTCTCTCTCTCTCTCTCCCTCTCTCTCCTTCCCACTCTATCTGAACAAAAAATGGAAAAATGTCTTCGGGTGAGGGTGTTAAAAAAAAAAAGTACGATGGATATCATCAAAAAGAACCTAGCGCAATCTAATATTGTAACTTAACAACCTTAAACTCTTAGTTTACATAGTATCTAACAGATGTCGAGTATTGCTGCTTTTCTTGAAAATTTAAAATATCATGCGGATCAGCCTGACGGTATGGCTCAGTGGTTGAGCACAGACCCACGCAGCAAGAGGTCGCTGGTTTGATTCCCGGTCAGGGCACATGCCCAGGTTGTGGGCCTGACCCCCAGTGGGGAGCATACAGGAGGCAGCCAATCAATGTTCTCTTGCATCAATATTTCTATCTTTCCCTCTCCCTTTCTCTCTCTCTAAAAATCAATAAAGAAAAAAATTAATTAATTAATTAAAATATCATGTCGATCCCATTAGTTCACTATAGCACCTTAGTGAGCCTCAGCACAGGGCTGGGAACAATGCAACCTCACAGGTGGTATTTCTGTGTACAGCTTTCCTAAGCAGACTGAAAAGGAGGGGAGGAGGATGCTTTCTGTTCTTGTGCATGAATGGAGGACACATTCCAGGAAAGCTGAATGACTCACCATAAACTCTTATGCCAGGGAACCATAAGATCTTTGCTGAAGAAAGCACGCAAGAAACTCTAACTTCAAAACAGCCATTCCAATGCATTGGAACCTCACAGTGTTAGCCACTATTGCTAAAGTGCTATCCAGAGGTATAAACAAATCATTTTGCCTGAAGCAAAATGTTTTACTTCATAAGGAATTAAACATAGGGCTCTCCTGGCCTTAACATTTGTTACACTGTGTTGACCTGATAGCTATATTGTTTCTCATTCCAGATGAAATCAATTTCTTTAAAAACTTACATCTTTCTACTTAATAAGAAAAAAACAAATGTCTACTTTTTTTTTTACATTTTGAAATAATTTCAGACTTACAGAAAAGTTGTAGAGTTCCCATATACCCTTTATCCATATTCCCCTAATATTAACATCTCGTAACCATAGTAAAATTATCAAAATTAGGGTCTACATAATACTATTAAATAATTACAGACCTTCATAAATTTTCCAAATTTTCCTAATAATGTCCATTTCATCGTACAGAATCCAACTGAGGATTTCACACCGAATTTAGTTATTATGGCTGTTAGTCTCCTCTAATCTGTAACAGTTCCTCAGTCTTATCTTCCATGACCTTAAAATTAAAGTATCGGAGTAACACTGGCCAGTTATTTTGAGGAATGTTCCTCAATTTAGGTTTGTCTGATACTTTCTCTTAATTAGACTGAGGTTATGCATTTATGGCAAGAATCCTACAGAAGTGTTTGTGCCTGTCAGCACAAAACATTTCACATTTTTGGACAAGGTATGATTTAAGAAAACCTCCATATACACAAATGTTTAAAATACTTGGTATATGATGCCTATTGTATCTTCATCAAAATGTGCTAAAATTCTTTAATAATTAATAGAATTAAAGTTGTGCTCTGGCTGATTTGGCTCTGCGGTTACAGTCAGCTCGTGAACCAAAGAGATGTGGGTTCGATTCCTGGGTTGCAGGTTCAATCCATGGCCCTGCTTGGGACTCTTGAGGGAGGCAACCACTCTGTGTCACATCAATGTTTCTCTTTCTCTTTTTCTCCCCTGCCCCCTTCCCTTCCACTCTTTCTAGAAAAATCAATGGAAAAGTGAGCATTCACACACACACTCATACACACACACACTCACACACACATATACACACACAGACTATTTTGGGGCTCTGCTGACTGCTTTCTACAATGGTCGCACCCATAAATAATGTAACTGGCAATGTGCAAGAGTATCAATTTCATGAGCCCCACACTACTGGGATCATCAATTTTTTATAATGTAGCTATCAAAAGATGCTAACTTATTCTAAACTTTTTTCTAACAAAGCTGGACATTTTATTATCTCTCAGAATCTTTATAAATTATCTGTTAACGTAATCAAGATCCTATCATGCATTTTGTGAAGAGCACCTCATAGTCTAATGGGTTTTAATACTATCCATAGTTGTTATATATGGGGATCAAAGATATATGGCTTCAAAAGACTTTTTTTTTTAAATCTATTTTTATTTATTTCAGAGAGAGGAAAGGACAGGGAGAGAGACAGAAACATGGGATCAGCTGCCTGCTGCATGCCCCCTACCAGGGATTGAGCCCGCAACACAGGCATGTACCCTGCCCAGGAATCAAACCAGTGTATGTGCCCTGGCCGGTTTGGCTCAGCGGTTAGAGCGTCCGCCTGCGGTCTGGAGAGACCCGGGATCGGTTCCCGCTAAGGGCACGTACCTCGGTTGCAGTTTGTCCCCGGCCCTGGTTGGTCGTGCGGGTGGCAGCCACTTGATGTGTCCCTTTCACATCGATGTTTCCCTCTCTCTCTCTCTACCTCTCTCTCCCTCCCACTCTGTCTGTACAAAAAATGGAAAAATGTCCTCGGATGAGGATTAAAAAAAAAAAAAAAAAAATGTAAAAAAAAAAAACCCAGTGTATGTTATAATTTTCATGACTATTAATAGAAGAATTAAATTTAAAATTTGCTTTTTCTTAACAGCAGTTAGAAAAGTACTATCTGAAAATGCATTTTTGAAGTTAACTTTTGAAAATGATGTTTCTAAGTCTACTAACCACCATATTTACCCAAGTTCTACACAACATAATGTGGCATAAAACAATTAAATAAAAATTTTAAACAGCTCAATGAACAGCTCTGAAGAATGAAGCTCATCCTCTGATTTTTTAAAAAATATGTTTTTATTGATTTTACAGAGAAAGGAAGGGAAAGGGGAGGGGGGAGAGAATCATTGATGTGAGAAAGAAACATCAATCGGTTGCCTCCCATATGCACCCAGCACCCTGACTGGTGATCAAACCTGAAACCTGGATATGTACCCTGATGGAATCAAACTGACCAACTTTCAGTGCCTGGAACAACACTCAACTAACTGAGCCACACCAGCCAGGGCATTCATCCTTTGATTTTAAATAAAGAATATATATATATTTTTCAATCCTCACCCAAGGACATTTTTCTATTTATCTTCAAATAGAGTGGAAGGGAGAAAGAAATATCATCGCGAGAGAGACACATTGACTCACTGCCTCCCGCACAACTCCAACCAGGGCTGGGGATGAACCGCAACTGAGGTACATGCCCTTGACTTGAACTGAACCCTGCGACTCATTGGTCCTTGGGCTGACACTCTAATTACTGAGCCAAACCAGCCAGGGCTAAATAAGGGATATTCTTATTCTTTGGAGTAACTGTTAGTTCTGAATTCAGTTCTTACAGACCAGAAAAAGTACTTTGGCATCTATGGTTCAATTTTAAGCAACTGAACAGCAGGACTTTTTCTTGGAGTGAAAGAAATTTTTTTTTACACATCCTCCCACACTTATAGCATACCACTATATGAAAAGAGTTTCTGGACAGACATTTATATTTTATAAATTATAAAAATGCTGTAGATTCTCAAATATTTACTATATTAGCCAGGTAGTAAAAAGAGGTATTTACAAAATATAACCTACTGATTCACTAATTATTAACTAGTTCATAGTCACCACTGATCAATAAGAAAAGTATTCGACTTTCATTAAACCACAAATATCTTAAAATGACACACCTTAACCTTCTGCCAAGACTTCCTGTGCTGGCAGTTTTGAGTCCCCAGCTGGACAGAGGCTCACCTGACAGGTCCAGCTCCTTGGTGGAAGATAAATTGGCCAGACTCCAGCTGTCACTGCGAGCCGCCAGGACAAACTTGTGAGCATTGATGTGCTTGCCCCCAACCTTTATCTTCAGATCACTGATGAAGAAACATAAAAAAAGAAAATGTCATCATAGGTATAGCTAGAATTCATAGCTGATAAATATGGATTGATCAACATGCATCTGCAAAAGAAAAAAAATATCACAGCAAATTTACCTCTCTATGTTAGCAATAAATTCTGATAGGTCATGTTTATCAGATGTTGCTAGACTCTCTCTCTCTTTCTCTCTGATGTGAGGACATAAGAAGATGGCTGTCTGCAAGCCAGGCAAAGAACTCTCACCAAAACCCAGCCCTGCTGGCACCCTGATTTGGAATTTCTAGCCTCCAGAACTGTGAGAAAAATCCATTTTTGGCATTTAAGTTACCCAGTCTGTGGTATTTTGTTATGGTAAACTGAGTAGACTAAGACAAGTAGCTGTTATTAGGGATATTGGTTTGAACAATGCGAAAATCTCTTCATTTTTTATTCTGGGATCCGAGTTGCTATCTGGCTCCTTTTGGAAAGAGAAAGCATGGGTGGTGAAGTTGAAGAGTTCTGGCTCTGAATCAGTCCAGAGAGAGAGGAAGGGAGAGGGAGAAAGAGAGACATCGATGAGAGAGAACTTCAAATGGTCGCCTCCTGCACGCTGGGGTTTGGGCCCACAACCTGGGCATGTCCCCTGACCAGAAATCGAACCAGCGACCTCTCTTGGTGCATAGATCAATGCTCAACCACTGAACCACACCAACCAGGCTGTCACCATTTTTTTTTTTTATCCTCATCCAAGAACATTTTTCCATTTTTTGTTCAGATAGAGTGGGAGGGAGAGAGAGAGAGAAACATCGACGTGAAAGGGACACATCGAGTGGTTGCCATCCACACGACCCAACCAGGGCCAGGGACAAATCGCAACTGAGGTACATGCCCATAGCAGGAACCAAACCCGGGTCTCTCTGGACTGCAGGCCAATACTCTAACCGCTGAGCCAAACCGGCCAGGGCTCTTACCATTTTTTAATGAATGTTTCCAATGACCATATAATTTTATAGATTTCACAAAGCAGAACATATTTTGGTTTCCTCCAATAAAAAAAAAAAAAGATGGTGCTAGACATGTTTTCTACTCCTAACTTCTACGTTTAGTTCACATGGGATGTTCTGCTTTCAAAGACATTTCCTAATGGGATCCTTAAGGTGGTGAACCTACAAGTTAAATAGGATGATTAATAGTCACATAAAAAGGAAAAGAGGTTTTATGCTTAATAAAGCCAGATAAATCATCAGGGGGAAAAAGACAGAAAGCTTAAAAATTGTGATGACAGCCCTGGCCGGTTTGGCTTAGTGGTTAAGAGCGTCGGCCTGCAAACCAGAGTCACAGGTTCAATTCCTGGTCAAGGGTGCATACCTCAGTTGCGGGTCAATTGCTGGCCTGGTCAGGGTCATGTGGGAGGCAACCAATGTGTCTCTCCCACATCGATGTTTCTCTCTCTCTTTAAAAAAAAAAAAAAAAAAGACTACATGCACTATACTCCACACCACATTAATGCTTAAGCAAGGTAAAACAGAAAAACTAGGAACAATTAGCTTTGATAAAGCAGTCAAATATATGAGACCCAATATCTAGCCTCTTGTTCTTAAGAGAAACATTCAGATCTATTATTGGCCATCTTTTACTCCCCGGCCCTGGTTGGTTGTGTGGGTGGCAGCCATTCAATGTGTCCCTTTCATGTCAATGTTTCTCTCTCTCTCTCTCTCTCTCTCTCTTCCTCTCTCTCCCTCCCACTCTCCCTGAACAAAAAATGGAAAAATGTCCTCGGGTGAGGATAAAAAAACAAACAACAACAACAACAAAAAAAAAACAACAGAAAAATAAACTATTATATGAATTAACTAATCCACTTAAAAGGAGACCCAACCAGAATATTGCTCCTATATAATGCTTGATGCAGACACATTTCACCCACAAACGTATACTTTGTAATTATGTAAACATATCAACAATTCTAGTTCTACTCAAGATCAAGATGCGACTAATTATGTTAGATAAAAATAAAAGAATACTTATTATTACTTGAAATAATTACAAACTAAAGTTAACACAGTAGAACATTATTAATCGATGTTCTCTCTCATTGATGTATCTCTCTCCCTCTCCCTTCCTCTCTAAATAAATAAATAAATAAATAAATCCTACCCAGCCTTTAACATTTACTTCAAAATTAACTTAATAACAAAAGCTAATAGTTGAGTATTTACTGTATGCAGACACTGTTCTAAGTATTTAAAACGTTTTAGTTAATTAATTAATTTTAAAAAATGTTTTCCCTCTCTATTGACTCGAGAGAGAGAGGAAGGGAGAGGGAGAGAGAGACAGAAACATTGACAAGAGAGAACATCGACTAGTTGCCTCCTGCATGCTCCTTACTGGGGATCTGGCCAACAACCTGGGCATGTGCCCTGACCAGGAACCGAACTGGTGACCTCTTGGTGCATGGTCGACACTCAACCACCAAGCCACATTAGCTGGGCTGTATTTATTAACTTAATCCTCACAACAACCCTAAAGTGAGTAGTATCATATCCCCATTTTACAGATTAGGAACCTAAGGCATGTCATATACCTTCAGGTCACATGGACAGTAAATGGCCAGCTGAGCTTCTAACACAGGCTGTGTGGTTCCAGAGTCCACCTTCAATCACCACGTTATACTGTCCACTAGTTCCAAGACTCCTTTATTGACCAACCGAAGAGAAAGTGACTTCTCCTCTCTGAATCCCTGGACATGTAAGTTAATTCCTATATGCATTAGATATGCTATCATCATGACTCCCTAGCTCTGTGTCCAAAATAAGCAGAAAACAGACAAAATCTTGCCTCAAGGAACTTACATTCTAGCAACTAAAGGTTTGCTAAGATTCCCAATGGAGAGAAATAAATTTGGGAAGAAAGTCAACAAGAGAGGAGAAGCTGCAATGTAGCCTGGGAATAAAGCTAAAGGGCTGGCTTCCCCAAACTGGCCCTGTGTCCAGGAGCTCACCTATACTGCTCCTGCTCATAGAGGTCAGCCACGATCGTCAGCAGGCGGCTGATGAAGGACTCACTGCTGTTTTCCTTGTTTGCTTGTGCGGCTAAAAGAGTGCATTTCTTCTCTGTCTCTGCCAATTTCTTCTGCAGCTTGACATACTCCTGTCGGAGAAGCATCAAGTGCTTCTCCAACTTGGCCACCTCCTCTGCAAGGGAAACAAAGAATCAAGTTTATCATAGAAGGTGTAAAGCAGACAGCATTCACTAATCCCGCATTCCACAGACAGCATGGCTACCAAAATGACTAGTCACATGATGTTTCTACTACTTCTTAATGATAGTCCTACAGGACCAAGAATGGTTTTATTTCAGGGTGCCACTGGGTTACTAGGCTAAAAAAGCCATCATGGTCCAGGGATTTCTCTCCGTTTCCCTTTGAAGATCAATATTCAATATATGACAATGAACAGACACACATAAGATACTAACAGGTATCTGCCCTACAAATTCTTGACCATTAAGCCAGGAGTCTCAAGGAAAAAAGATGATCAAAATCACCTAGGAGGCTTTTTCAATCACTAGTAATAGTAACTTCCACATGTCACATGCTGTTCTAAAAGCTTTCTGTGAATCCTTTCATGCAAGCTTCATGACAACCCCACGAGTTAGGTCCCATTACTAACACACTTTACAGATGAGGGCACTGGGGTACAGAGAGATTAAGAATTTGTGTAAGGTCACAAAGCTGGTGAAAGATGAGGCTGGGAGGAGCCCAGACATTCTCATTCCAGGACCTGTAATTTATTAACCACTACCCCACACTACCTGACACTTGACCTCCTTAAGGAGAGGATCAGGTGAATCAATACTGTTTCAGATGGAAGCAAGTCATATTCCACAATTGTGCTGGCACAGACTAAAAAGGTTAAGAACCACTATATTTGATTCATTAAATTCAACAAATATTTACCAAGTGTCTACTAGGTAAGTGTCAGACACTGAACAATGGTAAACAAAATCAGACATATCTTTCCCAAAAGCTTCTAGTTACTGGGGAAAATAAACTTTTACATAATAACAACTGCAACAATAAGATGCAAAACTAGAACTCTAATGAGTACTAGAAGGAAAGAGCAAAGCTGTAAGAACCTATAATAAAGACATTTAACTTAGGATGTCAGGGAAGGCTTCTCTAAGGAAATAACAGTCAAGAAACTTCTCCTTTACCTGGGGTCCAGGTAAAGAATCACACAACTATGCATATTAGTACCTCCATAAATCAAAGTCTAACTATGGAACCACAGTGCTGCTATGGTCATTCTCTGGGCCACGGTCCCTTTACCCCCTACTTCCCACCAGGTATTCAAAATCTTGACACCATCTTCAAGCCCATCGGCCACCCAATCTGTCTAATTCTGAGCAAATGCCTTGAGAAAATTGAGCTGCTGCCAACAACTTCCAATTTACCCGCAACTACCCCCACCTACTCCAGAGAAAGAGTCTCCCTCTGGTCCAAATTTAATCTCTCCAGCTATGCTCCATACCCATCACTCTTCTCCCATCCTTTGCTTTATCATCAACCATCCCTTCTCAAGCAACTTCAGTCTCTTTCAATAGGGTCTTTCTCATCAGCATATAAATCTGTTCAAGTCTAAAAACCCTCCTATCACACTATATCTGACGTCTGCCCTTCCATCTCTAGCTACCACACACCATTTCCTCATCCACTATTCCCATCATTCCCTCCTTCTGTCCTCACCATTCCCTTAAAACTCCTCTCACCAATAACCTTCTAATTGCTAAATCCAACAGACATACTTGCCAGTGGTTCTCCTGGACCTCTACACCGCATGTGATACTGCTGTCCAACCTTCTCTTCTACTTTCAGCAACCACATGCCACCCTCTCTCCCATTCTGGTCCTGTCTCTGTCACATGCTTCCCTACATCCCTCCCGACCCTTGACCACTGACATCCCCCAGGTTCTATCCTTGGCCCTCTTCTAAAATATATGTTCTCTCAAGGCAGCTCCCCCAGGTCCTGAGTCTGTGGTTGAGACCACAATCTAGGGGCCAGTGATGCATAGATCCATCTCTCTAGTACAGATCTCTCTCCCTAAATTCATCTATTCATCTTTCTGCCCAAGAGACATTTCTCCTTAGTGGTCCACAGGTACCTCAAATTCACTATGTCCAAACAAAACTTCAAGCAAATTTGCTCTTCCCTTATGTAGTCCCTATACTGACACCACCATCTATCTAGCCTAGTTACCTGAAGAATAATCTTAGATGTCTCCCTCTAACTTGCACGGCCCCAACGCTAACCAAACTCAAAAACTGACTTTCTCACTGAAACATCTCTGAGAATCCTTCCTGTCTTCTGTATCCCCATCTCTATGACTTTAATTCAGACCTTCATTTATATCTGTTTCCAATGTGAAAGGATTTACATCTGCATCTCAGACTATCACAGAGCCTGACACAGAGGCTCACTAAATATTTGGTCAGTTCAGTCGAAAAGGAAAATTCCAGTTTTATAAAAAAAAGATTCCTTTCCTCTCAACTGCATCCTTCCCCCATCTGCTGTCCAATAACTAATTTTTATAAACATGGATACTGCCCTAGCTGGTTTGGCTCAGCGGTTAGAGCGTTGGCCTGCAGTCCAGAGAGACCGGGGTTCGGTTCCCGCTAAGGGCATGTACCTCAGTTGCAATTTGTCCCCTGCCCTGGTTGGTCGTGCAGGTGGCAGCCACTCGATGTGTTCCTTTCACGTCAATGTTTCTCTCTCCCTCCCTCCCACTCTATCTAAACAAAAAATGGAAAAATGTCCATGGGTGAGGATAAAAAAAACAAAACATGGATACAATAAAAAACGTGTTCAAAAATGTAGGAATGGTTAAATAAACTAAGTGGTGCATGAGTTTGAAGTTATCATGCAACTATTAATGTTTTCAAAGAAGTATGTAATACTAAATATGCAGTCAGAGAATATTAACAGAAAAAAGAAGGCTGTGAAATATATTTTATAATTCTGATTTTATTATATTCAATATGACGAATAAAAGATAATTCAGTACCCCAAAATATCAGCACATCTCAGTGAGAGGGGATAATGAGAGAGTTTTCTTCTTTGCACTTTTCTGCACATTTCAGGTATTTTATAAAACTGTGTTGTTTTCATAATTAGAAAAAAAATATATATATATATATATATTTTTTATCCTCACCCGAGGACATTTTTCCATTTTTTGTACAGATAGAGTGGGAGGGAGAGAGAGGAAGGGAGAGAGAGAAACATCGATGTGAAGGGACACATCGAGTGGCTGCCACCCGCACGACCAACCAGGGCCGGGGACAAACTGCAACGGAAGTACATGCCCTTAGCGGGAACCGAACCCGGGTCTCTCCGGACCGCAGGCCGACACTCTAACCGCTGAGCCAAACCGGCCAGGGCTAGAAAAAATATTTTAAGGGGAACTTGTTTAAACACTAATAGACTATCTTCTTCATATATATATATTAGGGAACTTTTTTCTCCTCTTCTAGAGGATCCATGTTAAATGGATTAAAAAAACTGGATGTGAGTCTCAGGTGTAAATATTCATGGGAAAATAAAATACAGGCACTTGCAAGATGAAAATGTGCTTATAGCTGCGAACTGATCACTGTGCACATGATTTGCATATCAGCTAAGAATTCCTATAATTAATATATATATATTTTTAATCCTCACTCAAGGATATTTTTACATTTATCTTCAGAGTGTAGGGGAGAAAGAGATAAATCGACTAGTTGTCACCCACAAGACCCCAACTGGGGCCGGGGATGAACTGTAACAGAGGTAGATGCCGTTGGCCAGAATCAAACTTGGGACTTTTTGGTCCACAGGCTAACGTTCTAACCACTGAGCAAAACTGGCCAGGGCCTAATTTTTTTTTTTTTTTAAATACTGCAATTATTTGGCCAACTAATATTTAAACAAAATATTTCTTTAAAAATATTATCTAGCCCTGGTTGGTTCGGCTCAGCGGTAGAGCTTCAGCCTGTGGACCATTTAGTTGCGGGTTCGATTCCGGCCAAAGGCACATACCTCAGTTGCAGTTTGTCCCCAGCCCTGGTTGGGGTCGTGCAGGAGGCAATCACTCGATGTGTCCCTTTCATGTTTTTTTTTTTTTTTTTTTATCCTCACCCGAGGATATTTTTCCATTTTTTTGTACAGATAGAGTGGGAAGGAGAGAGAGGAAGAGAGAGAGAGTGAGAGAAACATCGACGTGAAGGGACACATCGAGTGGCTGCCACCCGCACGACCAACCAAGGCCGGGGACAAACTGCAACCGAGGTACGTGCCCTTAGCGGGAACCGAACCCGGGTCTCTCCGGACCACAGGCCGACACTCTAACCGCTGAGCCAAATCGGCCAGGGCTGTCCCTTTCATGTTAATGTTTCTCTCTCTCTTCCTTCCTCTCCCTCTCTCTCTGAAGATAAATAGAAAAATATCCTCAGGTGAGGATTTAAAATAAAATATATATGTATATACACATTTATATATTGTCTAAAGAAAAACAGTACTTATAATGATCCTATTATAACATTTTAGAGTCTCAGCAAGTTGCATATTACACAAACCCCTCAGGTAGGGCTCAGCTCCACATTTTTATTCTGGTGTAATACATAGGTCGCTGGTTTTGAAGAGTTCTTCACAGTGACTCAGACTAAAGAGCTAAGAAATTGAAATTATTTACCGCAAAGGGGGAAGCATAAAACACAAAGCATTAAGTTCATGTAATGGTACAAATTTACATTCTTTTTTTTTTCTCTATAGATAAAGAAAAGAAGGTGATTGGCTTCTTTAAACAAAACTGGCACTGCCATGGTGTGGCTCAGTAGACTGAGCATAGGCCCATGGACTGAGAGGTCCGTCAGGGCACATGCCCAGGTTTCGGACTCAATCCCTGACTGGGGGCATGCAGGAGGCAGTCAATCCTTGTTTCTCTCTCACATTGATATTTCTATCTCTCCTTTTCTCTCTCTCTAAAAAGTCAAACAAAAGTAAAAACATATTTAAAAATAAAACAAAACTGGCACTGAATTTCTAGGTTGGTAGCAGAAAATGTAATATCAAATTTTGTTCAAAAACTGCTATCACTTGCAGCAAAATAAAATCTGTGGTATCAGAAGTCATGATAATGGTTATCTTCAGAGAAATGC